ACACATGGCACACGACACACGACACACGGCCCATGACCAACAGCCCAACGACCCACGACACATGGCACACAACACAGGGCCCACGACACACGGCCCACGACACATGGCCCGCAACACATGGCCATGACACACGGCCCACGACACACGGCCACGACACATGGCCCATGACACACAGCCCACTACACACAGCCCACGACACACAGCCCATGACACATGGCCCACGACACACGACCCTGGCCTGACCAACTGCTAGTGTGGCCAACAGCCCACGACCCGCTGCCCATTGCAGGGCCCATGACCCACGACACACAGCCCACCACCATGACACACGGCCCACGACCCAACAAACTGCTAATGGCCAACGGCCCACGACCCACGACCCACATCCAAGCCCGCATCCACGGCTAAGGCAATGCTGACGCCCTAAGCCACCTACTTGGCTACCCACCCATCCAATCATCCACCCACTTAGTCAGCAGAAGAATAGAACAATTCCCCTTTTTTCGAGTTTTGGCCTTGCTGCTGCGATGGGTTGATGGGTTGGTGCGATGACCATACGCTTGCCTGCCTGCTTGCCTGCTTGCCTGCTTGCCATAGTGATGTGCGCGGTCAACGGCAGAACTGCCCCTCTCGCCCATGAAGTGTTGGTTCGGCATGGCCTGGGGAGCCGACCAGAGGGGGGGTGGTGATGTTGCGGGTCAGCTCACACCATACGCTTCCCCCAAGAGTGGAACTGCCCCATGCTTGTGAAGCGTTGGTGTTGTTGCAGCGCGCGGCGTACATATGGTCGGGGGCCCTGGGTGATGTGCGGGGGGCTAGTCTCGGCCCGACCCCCAATTGTGGAATTGGCCGACGCACGCTTGTGAAGCACCCCTGAAGCAAGCGCCCCATCGCAAATGCACTTGCGTTGTTGGTGTAGTAACTAAGCGTTGGTGCGGCAAGGCAAGCACATGCGCGCAGTGAAGCCACCCCCCAGCAGAACAGAACAGCACACTTCCCTACCCCCCCCCTTCTCGCTTGTGAGTTTCTCTACAAAGATGCTTTGTGGTGTGTACTACAGTAACAAGGGCGAGGCCACTGGGCAGCCCCAAGCGACCCAGCATGATTTCGAGGTTGATTTCAAGGTTCATACACTTGGGCGATGCCCAGCCCTACGCCACCCAGCACAGCAACGTTTCATGGCCTGATGAGGTGTTGGCCTGTAGCGTGGTGCCCAGCCAGCCCCACGTCACGCCACGCCACACCACGCCACGTCAGGCCACCTTTGCCTGGCAGCCTCGTCGCCAACTGCTGCTGAGTGCTTGGACTGGCCTGTGTCACCGGCGTGGAGGGAAAGAACACAATCATTACAAAAAATTAGACATCCTGGACCAAAAGATAAAGGGAAAATTTCTCTATCTTGCAATCTATATTTTTTTAGACTTGTTATTCATTTTTTTGCTAAGCTATGCCTCGATAGAATCCATAATCTGTTTCAGTCACCAGCCTCTTCTTCCTCTTCTTTAATCTTTTCTTTGTCTCCAAGACTTCAGAATCTTGCCTATAAAATGAACTACAATTTCCCAAAGAAAAGAATGAACTATGTGGTAACATATGCCTACAATAGAACCTTAGACTAACATTAGGTGAAATTAAACAGTGAAACATCCAAAAAGTTTATGGCTTAATAAGTTTTAGGCCTTGCAAGTTATCCTCAGATACATGTAGTTTTTTATACTTCAGAATCTTCTTTTTGTTTCTTGTTCTTTATCATTCCACTTTCACCAGCTGCATGCAAAAGAAGGGGAAGTGCTTTCTCAGTTCTCACACCCCTCACCTCACCCCATGCTTCTTAATCATCAAATGTCTGACTGGATCGAAACAAGCTGCATTAGGGAAAGTCTCTTCTTCGAAAAGGGATATTTGAACACCTGGAATGATACAGTAAAGTTCATTTTCACTGAAGTAATCCACATTGAATCGTGAATGAAACAAATTCTTTCCTTTTAAGGCAGCTTCTAGAACAGCTGGAGCTATACCAACCATTAATATTTAAGGTTCCTTGGTATAACATTTATCTGACTATTAGCATAAAATGTTGATAAACTTGGAAAATGAGTACTTTCATGGCATAGATTCAGACCAGTCTGGGAACTGCTGCTGCAGATTTCAGCGATCCTTGCTCTGTTAAAATAGAATGGAATCCTGCTAACCTTAACTTTTATGAGGTCATGTTATGAAAATTTGATGCACAAGAATAAAAGAATGACCTTAATACCACTTACTAGGATCAATTTTGAGTGAAATTAAAACAGGATGTTAACAGAAATCATATATTAATGTGAATCTCTTCCTACTTTACTTTAATTATAATTCTGAAAGTAATAATTATCATAAATATCTTTTATATTTAACTTTTACTGACAA